AGATTGGGCCTCCTTCAGATGCCCCCAGCCAGCCAGCCAGTGTTGGCAGGAGGCTCCCCGGAGGAGAGCCTTCTCTGTGGCTTCTCCCACCCTTTGGTATGAACTACCCGCAGAGATCCGGACCTTACCCACTCTCATGGCCTTCAGGAAAGCTGTTAAAACCTGGCTATTCCAGCAGGCCTGGGGCTGTTGACCTCATTGTTGAGGTCCAGCCCTGATTAGAACGAACGTGTTGTGATTTTAAATCTGTATTTTTTTATTATTATTTCTTTCTTCCTCTTCTTTTTGTAAGCCGCCCAGAGTCCTTCGGGATTGGGCGGCATATAAATTTTATTAATAAATAAATAAATAAACCATTTGGGGGATGAGGCTTCAGACTAGGAAAAAGCACAAATCACTAAATTGTCTATGGTCCTAGACTTCCTGAAAGCTTCAGCATAGTTTATTAGCTCAGAGCATTTTTTTAGTAATTGATACTAAATCTGTTATTAGGACTAGCTTAAAGCAGTTGCTTCCTGCAGTTTTCCTTATAGATAATTTCCTGAAGACTGGGAGACAGCCAAAAACATGACAGTTAGCTCCATCTAATACATTTCTACTGCTTGTTACTGCTTCTCTAGACAAATGATGTAGAGATCATTTCCAGGATTCTCTATTAAGTATTGTTTGTAACTTCTGGTTATCTTTCTTAATCTTCATGTCTTACTAGAATATTTTTCTTCATTAGTAGCTCTCAGTAACTGGATGGTTCAATATGACCCCTGATAGTTTAGAATTGAAACTTTTAACCAGGATCACTTGACCAATGACCTAAAATTCAACAGCTTCAACTCACAAGTCTATAAGGCATAGATAATCAATAGAGTGTAAATTAGTTATCATTATTTGATTTTGTAAAACATCCCTTCTAATATATTAGCTATGGGCTAGGTATTGCACTTACTCTAGAAAAAAGTTGAATATATTTAATTCCTTTTAAAATGCATGGGATATAAATTAATAATCTTGAACCTGTTCTATTGATTTTGTCATAATAGAAGTGATAATAGTGTCACTAATATATCAAATGAGTGACATATTAGTGCTACTAATAGGATATATTTGTATATGATGACTTTAAAATATATTGCATTTGTACATTTATATATACATATATGCACAAACATATAGTGTGTGTGTGTGTGTGTGTGTGTGTGTGTGTGTGTAAAGCTAGAAATTTCATGCTGAAAAAGAATTGAATTTTGATTAAAATGGCACACAATAAAAGAAGGGGTATTGAATAAGAGATCATAGATTGAATATGGATTATAAATTGTTGATTTTTTTTGTTCAGTTTAGTCCTTTGAAATGAAAGACATATAACTAACAATTTTAATACTTAGTAAAATAGCAATATAAAATATTTTTTTAAAAGGGAGATTACTTTTTAAAGCCACCAGTTTATAATCTTAAAAAAAAAAACCAAAGGTGTTAATTGCAAATTTAAATTCATTAGTAGAACCAGTATTACACGTCCCAGTAGAGAAAATTATGTTATTTGTCCTCTCGTGTTTTTTTCAAATAAATCAACAATTGCAAGTATTAATACCTGCACAGGTGCTCATCATAAAAAATGGAGTTTAGTTGATACAACAAGGAAATCTGTGGGATTTTTATACTATCAGACTATTTTGGACTACTGGTAGTATTTGTAAATGTAATCTTGTGCCAAAAAATATGCATAGCCAGCTGTGATTTTTTTAAATACTGTAGTGCATATAAAGTGGGTTTTTTTCTCCCTTGCAGTATAGGTGTTAATTGGT